CATTTAGTACTCTTGACACGTTTAAACAGTGATCTCGATTACCCCAGGCTCTTCTCAGATTGACTGTCATAGATATTCTCACCTCAGCCCCAGCCACTTTTATGGGCAACTCAAACCCATACAGTAAATACAAAAACACAAGAGTCATCTAAATGAGGCAGAAATATGACTTGAACAATAGCTTCACTGCAGGGCAGTAGAGCAGAGAAGGTCCTTCTGCTCTTCCCCTACAGATCTGTTTACTTCATTTTCCCCCTCTTTGTGACCCCAGAGTTCACACTTCTCTGCAGTTTTCAATTGGCAGAGATGCATTAGAATGTTATGGAAAGCAATTTGTTGCTTTGGGGTTGGGTATTGATAAGCTCTCTTTAGCATTTGAAAGGACCTTACAGAACATCTAGTCCAATTCCCTCATTTTATCCAAGAGAAAAGACTGGCTTACAGAGGTTGCTTGACTACACAGGCCACACAGAAATTCATGACGGGGCAATAATGAGGTCATTTGACTCCCAATAGATCAGCACATGCTTGAACTGGGGGCAGGGGAAGGGGAGAAAAAAATAAGGTAGGGTCTTAAGATTTCACTCTCAGTTGACCTTACAAAGATGATGGGAAACACTATCTTATGTGGCCTAAGAGACAACACCTTTAGATTTCAAGCCTCTAGTACAGTGATTTTCAACCTCTTTCATCTCATGGCACACATCAACTGATTACTGAAACTCTGCAGCACAACAAAAATATATTTTTTGCCAACTGACAAAAATAGGTAAAATTTTGGTTGATTTACAAAAAAAACCCGCAGAAAAACAAAACAATAGTAATCACCTACCTCTTTGCTCCAAAGTGACTTTAAAAAAAAAAAAATCAGGTGCCAGTACTTGTATATAAATATTTCTGGTACCAAGAATTAACCAATTTGATGGAATCTTATTATGTCACATGTCCAATAAGATGTAACTCTATTATATGACCTATATGTTAATGGTTCACGGCAGGGCATTTACGCAAGATGGCCGTTGTTGTATTGGCTATTATCATTTTTTTTATTTGACCATCTGAGGGAAAAGAGGCCAGTGTCTCTGACTAAATAGTCAGGTATTGCACGTTTTAAAAATTCTTGCAGCACACCAGTTGAAAAATCACTGCTCTAGCAAAAAAAAAAAAAAAAAAAAAAAAAATCGCATAAATTTTTAAATATTGGTTATTTTTGGGGCTTTTAGGAGGCTTTCCTCCTTCTGTTTTTGTGTTAAGTAAGTTATGTCTAATATCTCATTAGAGATTTCCTCTATGAAGAAAACATAATGGTTCATTTTCTTTAGGGTATTTCCTTTTCTCCAGTGGAAGATAATAGGTTAAATATGGAATAATTATGAGAAAGTTGACCGTTTCTCTTTGTATGAAGATCATTGCACCAAGAGTTAAGTAACCATATGTCTTTAACATATGTAGAATAAATAATATGTATATAATTTTTGACTTCTGAAATAATTTTTGTAAAGTAATACTTAGGAACACATGTAATACTAGAAACTTTTCAAGTTATTTTTTATTTTTAATTTGTATCATCAGGCAAATAGAAATAGCATCTAAACATTTTCCAATTAACAAATATAATTTTACTATTTTATATAATTTAGCTTCAGTCATATGAAAGAATTCCAAAGTCTCTTCGAAGGCATAGTTTAGATGTGCAAGTTCATTTTAAAATTGATGAAATCCATGGTTTAACCATTGTTTAGAAATGATATAACAGTTATAGTTAGTTGGTGTGATCAAAAGCTTATTTTTACCAAGATTTTAAGTAATTAAAAATGCATAGAGAAATTTTATGGTGTCAGTCATGAGATTTACATGGTTAAATTTCTCTGAGTTGGAATGTATTATGCCTTTTTTTCCTTTGAAACATTCAGTTTTTACCAGGTCTTTATTTTTGACTAAACATACTGGTTTTTTTTCCTTTATCTTTAATTGATTTAGGGTGGATTCTACATCTGGATACTCATCTCCCTAAAGTGTCTGGTTCTGAAATAAAAAAGGAAGTTGGAAGGTATTGGAGTGGGATGAAGGGGCCGCTTTAATTGCCTCAGGGAGTCTTCTAACCAATTTCCATTTGCCTCATTGGTGTCCTTGGATAAAGGAGAATGGAGGGAGAATACAAAAAAGAAGCTAAGAAACTTTTAAGAAGTCACATAGAAAAAGAGAAGTTTGACGAACTTCCAGAAGTTTGAACATTGACATCGCTGAGGTTCTCTGTGATAACAATTGTGTACCCTAGCTTCCTGATTTTATTTCTTTATCTTAGTAGGTACAGAGAAACCCAACTCCTCCACACTTTTTTTAGACACATGGACAAAGTTACACAGAGATCTGAGTACCAGAAACATAAAGAGATTCAATTACTTTGGAGGAATAGGAACATGATGTATATACAGCGTCATCAAGGTAAAGGTCAGTGCTCATTTGCATTTGTTTTTTTATTTTGATGAAATAACATTCCGTGCATAGTAATGATTCAAACCTGTAAACAAGCCTGGAGACTGCGCAATGGCTGGCTGCCTCTCCTGTCCCCAGAGCTGGTGGAGAGGGAATACGCGTTCTTTAAATGGAAACTGCCTGGAAGTTCTACGGGGTAGCGGGTATGAAGAGAGATCCTCTGTCCCCTCCGGGGTTGAGAAGGGCTGCGAGTTCTGGATCGCATGTGGGAGGGGTGCAGACAGCGTCCGTCTGCCTGCAGGGTCACCACCACCGCTGCGGGCTCAGCGCGGGCCGGGAGCGGACCTGGCTGGAGGAGGATCCGCACTCAGAACCTTTGGGCTGCGCACTCTCAGCCCTTCGGCAGAGTTTGAGCTGCTGACCCCGTCAAGGGGAAAGGTGAGCGGGTTGGGTTTCCCACACTTTAAGTCCCTCTCCGTCCTCCCGGCCACACTGCATGTTGAAGGAAAGAGAAGAGGTAACTTGGATATGGGAGACTCAGGGGTAGATAGAGCCAAGGAGTCTCTGGAGTCCACATTCTGGATTCCTCCGAGCCGCGGTTCATCCATCGGACTCACGTTGGAGCGTCCCGCGACACAGACGGAGGCCGTTCGGGGAGGCGGGGGAGAGGGTTAATATGCAGGGACCGGGTGCGGTTGGTTTGAGAAGTCTCTGCCTTCGGTTGCCTTCAAGTTAAAGAGCTTGGAGCACCGGCGCGGTATCTCCGAGAGAAGGGGACAGAGAAACTGCAGGGGAAGCGGTCTTGGGCTAGAGTTTGAACTGTGAGTTGCTTGACTTTTCTGGGTTTCACGGTGGAAGTGTGACAGGAAGGCGTTTTATGCATAGTAAAGTGCCCTCCAAGATACAAGGAAATACGATTTACCCAGTGCGTGAGGTTCCACTGCCTCGGGCGCCCGCCCAGGATCTACGAGCTCCGCGATTCACGCAGAGGATCGATTCCCCAACATCGGACATCGTGGCTTGGCGAGAGGCGTTTCCGGGCACTTCCCTCTCGCGGCTCTTCTAGATCAGCTGGGGCCCCTACGTCGGTTAAAGAATCCACATGGCAGGACTCCCCCCGGTTCTGTGCAAGGTCACACTGCCTTGCTGATCCCTGAGTTCCTGCGCTGTCCGCAGCCCTTCCGTGCGTCCTCCTCTCCTCCGTGGCTCTCACGTTGGGTGCGGAGCTCCCCGGTCCTTGAGGACGTGTGGGGGTGGCGGGGCGCTGGAGGGTGGGAGGAGTTGTGAATGCACAGGAGCCCCGGAGGCTGTGGGGAGCTGTGCAGTCTCTTTGACACTCCGGGTCCTGGGTAGGGGTACTGCGTGTGGGGTTCGTAGGAAAGAGGTCGACACAGAATTGGGATTATATCCCCTGTGGCAATAGAGCAAAAACCCTGAAGAAACGTATCCGTTTTCTCTTTCCCAGGGAAGTAAATTACAGCTCCCAATCAGCATCTTCTCGCTCTTCAGTACAGCGAAGCCTACCTTCGGAAGTTCTCGTTCTTGCCCTCTCGGGCATCACCAGCTTTTCCGAACTGGGGATATTTCGTTCAGCCTCTGCCCAGCCATTGCGCCCTAGGCCCAGGGAGCTCCTCTTTGTCCTCCTCCCACGCCCCAGGCGAGGAGCTCGCGGACCTGCGCTAACGGCAAGCCGGCAGTCACCCTGCCCGGCTCCCGACTGCGCTGCCTTTTATTCTCTCTAACAGTTGCCGAGGACCACATTAACTCGGGCAGGGTTTTTTTCCCGCCCTACAATAGCTAGCCTCTTTGGACACCCAAGCCAGGTCATTGCTCCAGGAGACGCAGTGGCGACTCCTGTTAACTGCGTCCTGCCCAGCCCTGGCAGGTCGCAGCAGCAAGCTCACCGGAGCAATCCCAACTTAATTTTCTCCCTCTTGAGACACGTTTCCCTGGAAAACCTCTCCCTAGCATCTTCCCGCCTTCCCTACGGGCAGGAAACATTTTAATCTCAATAGAAAAGACTCAATTTAAGTGCAGGGTGGGGCGCAGTGGGCGGGGCAAAGGTGGATCAGAGCCTTGATTTTCTCTGTGGTCCAAACTAGCCATCGGTGGGTAAAGCTCAAGTTTGTGCCCTTGGTCGACCGAGGAATTGCAGACCGAGAAAAGGTGTCCAGTGAGATGCGGAGTGTGCCCAGATTTTCCTGCAGATGGGTTTGCGGAAAAGCCTGTGATGTGAACTTTCTGTAGATTGTGTATGGAGGGAGCTCAAGGAAAAGAAGGAGTGGGCCGGGGAGGGGGCTGTGTGAGCGTGAAATGTGCCTGTATGTGTATGTGTGCGCGCGCCCAGGCGCAGGGGCCGTGGAAAGAGTCTAGAAGGTCCCGCAGGCTAATTGGTTTAAGACATTCTGCAAGCGCTGGAAAAGGTCGTTGGAAGGAGTTCGCTGCACACACACAAAATAATAATCTTAAAAAAGAGTGCCGGGCATGCGCACAGAGAGGATGCCATATTGGAATGAGGCTGTAGTGGGAGTCGGAGGACCCGAGCGGGCGCGCGAGGGAGGCGGCGGGAGGGGAGCGAGCGAGGCAGAGCAGAGCGAGCGGGAGCCAGGCAGAGCCTGCGAGCGAGGCCGACGTCCTCACGGGTGGCGCCCGGGGCTTTGGTCCACGCCGAGGGGAGGACGAACTTCACCAGGTAGGAGACCGTGCCGTCCACTGTCCTCACGCCCAGCCCGCTCCGCCAGCAGACCTCCGAACCGCAGGTTGAGTGCGCCGGCCAGTTTTCTTTCTTTCTTTCTTTTTTTCAGCTTAGAAAAGAAAAAAAAAAAAGGGAAGCTTGAGCTGGCCAGGGGTGGGGAACTGGAGGAGGAGGTGCTGAGGGAGAGGAGCGAAAGAGAAAGGCAGGAGGAGAAAAACGACAGCACTTGAACAGAGCCTCAAACTACGCTCTGCGCTCCGGGTTGTCAATTTTGCTTCCTCTGTCCCCTTCCCCCCTCGTCCCTCTGCTTTGAAAAGCCCGGCCTTCCGGGAGTCCGTCCGTACTTGCAAAGTGCCCTTCTTCCCGAGTGCAAGCTGTCCCCCTCCCGCCGTCCACCTCCCTCGTTTGCGCTCCTTTTAGCGACGCAGCCGCTCTTGCTACCCCGCGCTCCCCTGTCTCCTCCTCGCTGGGGTCTCTTTCTTTTTGGTGTGTTGTGTGTGTGTGTGTGTGTGTGTGTGTGTGTGTGTGTGTGTGTGTGTGTGTGTGTGTGTGTGGAGGGGAGTTGGTGGGGTGAGGAATGGAGATCAACCATCCAGGGGGTGAAAAATCCGTACACAGATACATTCGGAATCGCCCCTTTGGAAACATTTGCCTGTGCTGCTGAAATGAAATTGTCAGTAGTAGTTTCGGAGCGTGCTCCGGCAAGGATGATCTTTTTGTTCTTCTTCTTCTTTTTTAAAGTAATATACTGTCACTTGGGGCTTTCCTGTTGTCTACTTTCATATGACCTCATTACAAAATTACTAATCTAATCTGGTTTTGGAGTTTGTGTGTGTGTGTGTGTGTGTGTGTGTTCGTGTGTGTGTAAAAAATCTGCCAAAAAAAAAAAAAAACCCACAAAAAACAAACCAACTGTAGGAACTGCTAGATATACTTACGGATTTTGACCCAGGGTGGCAGAGGGGGTTAAGCCGAGAAAGGGGGAGCCTTAGGAGTGGAGGGGGGTTGATTCACGGTGGCCGGACACATGTCCGGAGCCCGGTCGGTACTTGTGTTTTCTTGGAAGCTCTACAACTGTGGGGAATGAGTATTTAGAAACCGAGCCAGTTCCAATATGGCGGGCTAAGGTGGCTTTTAAAAACTGAAAATAAAGGTTTTGAAGTGGGAAAAAACCCCGCTGGAGTTGCCATCCCTTAGTTTTGACTCTCTTTGGCTACCCCAGGAGCTGCTTTAGCGAATTAAGTGGGAAAAGGGAGAGGAAATGAGATGCCCTCATTTTTTCCATGGTTAAAGTCTGCGTGTCCAGTCAATTGGTAGAGTGGAAAGGGGCGCCGCTGGCCGGGACTGGGGCATCCAAGCACAACGGCTGTGTGCTTTTGGATCAGTGTGCATACCTGTGTGTGCAGTTGCGGGGGCACCGTGGGTTTCAAAGACATCCGCCCCAGTGTGTATACGCGTGCATCTTGGAACCAGACCCTGCCAGGATTTGACGTGACAAACTGCTGACACGTGGTGCAAAATACATGAGGGCAGAAGGAATGATTTATTTCGGCTTTTTATGTGAGGAGTTCTCGCGCTAGCTTTCTCTCTCTGTATGCTGAATCCTGTGCGGTAAAGCCCGGAGTAGGTGAAGGAGGAGGTGCTATCTAAAAGGACTTATTAAAAGATCCAGGGTATGGAGTGCCATCGGGCTGCAGGCGCCTGTGGGGTTTTGTGTGTGCATGCATGGGGGCTCGCTGCACTTAGTAGTGGCTCGGGCTACCCTTCGCGCTGCGCTGCGGTGGGGTGGGGGTGGGGATCCGCGGCCCTGAGATGGGAAGGGTTACAGTGGAATAGCAGAAAAGCAGGGACACTCGGACCTCTGCCAAAAATCAGGTACGGTCGAGGCGAGGAGTTGCTTTGGAGTTGCGCTCTAAGGAAGGTGGGGGATGGGGAAAGCGTTCTGGGAAGAAAGTGCCTCTTACTCAGGCCCTGGACCTGGAGGGCTCGAGGAGACTGGCGTCCTCCCAGCTAACCGCCGGGGGTATCGCCGGGTGGTTTGAGTGGGCTGCTAGGTGCGGGGATGGGGAAGGCGGGCATCCGGGGTTGGAGAGGGTCTGGGACTGGCGTCTGGGGGCAAAGTCAGAGCCTGTTAGGGGACCCAGAGGGAAAACCAGCAAACAAGAGCTTGCTTAGTTGTGGATAGGGGTCCCCAACAGGGGTCGCCAGTGGCTAGGACGCTGTAGCGAGGCGGAGGTTGCGCGTCTGTGGCAGCGAGAGGGACCGGGGGATACGGGCCATGCGGCCGCCGCGCACGGTTCGCGGGGCCTGAGATGGCTTGTCCGGGGGACCTTCTCTGGGCTGGTGAGCATCATGGCACATCTGCCAAGTGCACCGAGATGGTTAGGTTTGTAGTTAATGCAGTAACGTGGTCTTTGGGCATTTGCAGGGGCCTAAGCAGGGCGGGGGCGGGGATCGATAGGATCCTCTCGTCCTTCCCACTTAGACGCCGCGCTGTCTGAGAAGCCTGTCCCTCGCCGTGTTCCGTGGGTGGGGGCCGGCGGTAAACGTCACTGGAATTGGAGACCCTGCGGCAGATTTTCCCTCTCACAGGAGAGGCGAGGATGAGCGATGGGCCACACTTAAGCAAAGACGCCTTCCTCCTCCCGGGGCCGAGCGCGCCGCGTGTCCCCGGAGCTTCCAGCCTGCGGTACCGGTGCGTTCTCTCGGGGACAGGTCTCCCGTGGGTTTCGCTGAAGTGGAAACCGGGCTAAAATGGCTCTGTGCTTGTAAACTGCAGTTTCAGCCGGGAACCCCTCCCCTCCTCCTCCTGACGTAGCCGTTGACAAGCATACAATTCCTCCAGCGCTTCGGAACCCGCGATATTGTACCGAGCTTTGCCGTGGAAGCGAACGTACAACAGATTACAAAGAACATTCCACAGGATTTTCGTCTGGCCCAAGTTTCCCTTTACTGTGGGGAGGAGCAGGAGGAGCCCTGCCGACCACCGCTCTGTACCCTGGGGCAGGGAGACTCAGGGCGCTCCGGCTGGGGGCTGGGGACCTTTACGGTAAAAAACGGAGGGAAGAGCCCCGGGGACGTGGAGGGGTGGCTGTGCGGGGGCAATCGCCACCCCAGAGGCGCCTGTCTTTGACGGCATTTGTGGTGTCGGAGTGCGGAGACGCTGCCGGGAAACCTGGGAGACGTTTCCCAAACTTCTGGAGACCTGCTTACAGTTTCGCTTTCGGAATTTTCGGGATCTGTGGGTTTCTAGAATTGGGTGGGATTCTGGGGAAGGCAGGGCGCCAAGGGCTGGCCATGCATATACTCGTTCCCCTTTCGGTGCGGTAGTCAGACTTCTCACCTACCCGGGCGTCCCCTGCTTTGCCTCCCTGGACCCTGCGGGTGTCTTCGAGGGTCTCGGGCTGCGGGCCTTTGAGTGCGGCCGCGGCTACGGAGACCGTAGACCCTGCTCTATGTTGTGTCGTTTGTCGGTTCCAGCGGCGCCGCTGCGGTGGACCCAAACCTGGTGGGAAGCCGATTTCCACTAGGGTAGACCTTACCTGAATCCGAATCCATCCCCGCTGCCCTTCGCTTTCTTTCCCCCCTCCACCCTTGCACCATAGCCTAGGGACCTAGGAGACCGATTGGTGTGCCTACACCAAGGAAATGGATCCATGTTTTACCAAGTCAGAGGAAACGCAAAAATAGACTTAAATTCTGCCTCTTTTCCTGGGGAGGCGATAGAGGGTGGGGAGAGAGACTGGGCAGGTTAAGTGGGGGAGGGAAGAGGCCTTGGTGGTAAGAAGGGAGTTGTTGGCCAGGCTGTGCTTTGAGATAGGAGATCTGCTACTTTCTCCCTGCTAGGCATTAAATTTGCACACACTCTACTTCCTCTCTTCCGTAAATAAATACTGTCTCTGATCTTTATCTTAGCTCTTTGCTGGGACCAAGCTGCCTGCTTGAAAAGGGTTTGGGGGAGACAAGGACACATGCCCATGCACACCATAAACCCTCCCTGTCCCCCACCAAAGTTTGTACTGTGCGCAGAACACCTTCCCGGGCAGGGATATTCAGCAGCCCCTACTCTAGAGGAGAGTGCCATCAAAACCCTGTTTTGAAGCTTATTGCTCTAGAAGTGACAGCTGAGACCTGCTGAGTTGAGAACTGGCTAATTTCCCCTTAGAATACCAGCACCTTGAACCTCAAACAGGCTCTCCTGCTGGGACACAAATTTCAAATTTGAATACTGATGGGAGTCATTTGTGATAGAGCTTTTACTCTTTATGTCTTCTGGCTGAAATTATGGGACTAATTTTTTTTTTTTAAACATGTTAGTTAAAAACACCCAGCTTCACTATTCTTGAGTTAATGAAGAGAATCTTGCGTAAGTTCCGAAGACCTTGGAAAGCCTGCTGATCTCCGGGTTGGCCTCTCCTCTCTGTTCCCTTTTGTCGCAGACCTTTCTTTGCTGCCCTGGGAGTATTGAACCATTTTATCACATCCCATTTTTGCCACTCTAGCTGAGGTGGCATTTTCCACCTTTCTCTACATATCAGTGTCCCCACAGGACTTGTCCCACCTGAGAAGAAATGCTGGGTGATGGGAACATTGGTCAGAGCAGTAGGTGAATGAAGGTTCCATTTACTTGATACCATGCTCTTGGGATTTAAGAAGCCCATGCATGGAAATGCAAGCTTGGCAGGGCCTGCACTTAAGCATAAAACTTTTTGTCAGGATATTGAAGTAAAAGAATTTTTTTTTCAATAATTTGAACAAACAGGGCCTATTGAGAGATTTGAATTATCTCCAGTTCTAGTATTCTACGTTTGGACATTTCTCTCTTAGTATTTCACTATTTGGAATATTTGGATTTCACTTAACAGTGTGGCGATCAGAAAGTTCCTATAAGAGGTTCTTGCACCAAAATGAAATTAGAGTCTGTAATTCCAGACAGATTTCGTGGGTTTTTTTTTCCTAACTCTCCTTACATTTATATCATCCTGTTAGCAACCGTT